ATTTTTATTACTTTAGAGCACAAGAAAACTTAAAAAAAGAGTATTGTATTTTTAAGGCCACTTTTTATCAAAAACAAAGCTTTAAACTCCAAATGGTTCCTGCTGACTGCTCCGAGCTATGAGTTGTTTTTATTCCATCATGTGGGCAAAAACGCATCCTGAAAAGACGGAGAAGAGCAAGCGATGTGGACCCACCAATGCCACACTTCCCACAGATCAGGATGTCGTTGGTCTGCATTGGTTGGCTGTCAGAGTTTGGCTCCGCCCCTTGGCACACAGAGCAGTGAGGCTCCTCCCCCGGTACGCCAGCTGGAAAGTGGATTTAGACAGGTCAGGAAAAATAAATAAAACTAAAGCAAGCATTTTAGATCCGCTTTTAAACATTTCATCTTTAACAACAAAGTGAACAAAGAGCGACACAAAAAAACAATCAAAGTTTGTAGTCAGATTAAACCTGAACCCCTGTCCAGCTGTCTGTCTCACCGTGTTGGATGTCCTTGTACAGCACCCAGAACTTGGAGTTGTCCTCAAACATGACGAAGCAGCTCTGCCTGTGGGGGCTCACCTGTCCACCAATCAGAACATGCCTCAGAGCTCACAGGTAACATCATGGCCTCAACAGGTGTGTGACGGGCAGGCGGGCTCACCCTCTGTATCTTCCCCACGTAGTAGAGTCCATCCGACCAGTGGCAGAGCACGAACTGACCCACGCTCAAGCTGGACTCCGTCCCCTCGTCGTCCTCCAGGAGTCGTCCGCTCTGACCCGGCCCGTCCTCTGGAGACCCTCGAGGTTCCACAGCGCAGAAGGCTCCCACCAGGTCCTCGAACATCCTGCAGAGACACGAGACGCAGAGAGAGAGAGAGACAGAGACAGTTAGTTTAGCTGCTGCTGTGATTCATAACTGAACTGTCAGGGGGGTTTCTGACATTTCCGCGCATGCGCAGTGCAGCCTCCCATCACAAACCGTTAACTAACTTATTAACCACACGAACCGCACCCTGAACCTGGTAACTAACGGGAACTAACCGGTCAAACCCCGGGAACTAGTTAATAACGGGTTTATTAACTAAACCGTCAGAGTTAATAACTGTGATTTTCTCCATCAGTGATACGATCCTGAACCACAACCATTTCACTAAAACATAATAAAATAAACCCGGACCTGGTTCTAATCTGAGCCGGACTAACCTGGTTCTAATAATCTGAGCCGGACTAACCCGGCAGGTCAAACTAAAAGAGCAGAAAGTCCAGGGCTATCAGCCGGACCCGGAGCCGACTCTCACCTCCTCTGTAGCGGACTCACTCTCCCTCCCCTCCTCCTGGTCCTCCGGTGCTCAGAACCGACGTGGCTCGGTCCGGTGTCGGCAGAGAGAGAACCCGGGCCGGCGGCTCCCCCTCCGGTGAGTCTCTCTGTCTCTGTCCTCCCGCTTCCGTCCCTCTCTCTCTCTGTCTTTCTGTCTCTCTCCCTCTCTCTCTGTCCGTTTCTGGACAAACTTCAAACTCCTGCAGTCGCCATTTTTTTCATTTTCCCGCGAATTGCATATTTCATACGGTGTGCGTGTGTGCGTCATGACGTCAACGCACAAACTGAATTATATTATTTTAGCCTGGTTTCAAACATTTCAGGAAAGATAAAAATAAGGCATGGCATTTTTTCATAAATTCTACATTTGAACAAATTCAATCATTTAAAAAATATTTTAATGTTAAAAAATTTTTCTGTATCTGCGTTTGTTAGCAAAATATCTATTTTTTAAACACAATATAAGATGGCTACCACAGCCAAAACAAAACAATAAATCTGTAACTCTGACACTTTTATAGATATTTAACTAATTTACTATATATATGATACTGGTGGGGTTGGTTGTTGGTAGGAGTGGGAAAAAAATAATACACTGAAATATCACAATGTTTAATTTCCTGATACTGTATAGGTTTTTAAATCAGGCTGGATGTTGTCAGATAAAAACGTAAAATACAAATGCAGTTCTCACTGTTGTTCAATGTTTTTCTGACTGCTTAAAAATGAAGTTAAATCTTTAATCAGATTTTATGCAGTGAATGAAATGAAAAGGAGTTCAAAATAAAAGTCCCTGAAACATGTAAAGCAGCTTTATGAAAAAACAGTGTCAAAAATAAAACTATAACATAATAAATTAATACAGAAATGATATGTATTTAATTAATTAATGGCTGTCCAGATAAGAGGAAGAAAACGGACAGACAGATGGACCTGTGTAATACCTGTGTAATACCGGTGTAATATTTGTACAATACCTGTGCATTACCCGTGTAATACCTGTTTATTAACTGTGAAATACTTGTGTACTACCTGTATAATACCTGTGTATTTCTTGTGTAATATCTGTATAATACCTGTGTAATATCTGCATAATACCTGCGTAATACTAGTGTAATATCTGTGTAATATCTGTGTATTACCTGTGTAATACCTGTTTATTACTTGTGAAATACTTGTGTACTACCTGTATACTACCTGTATAATATTCATTTATTACCTGTGAAATACCTTTGTATTACCTGTGTAATAGCTGTATAGTACCTGTGTAATTCCCTGTATATTACCTGTGTAATATCTTATAATACCAGTGTAATACCTTTGTATTACCTGTGTAATATCTGTGAAATACCTGTGTAATATCTGTATAATATCTGTGTAATATCTGCATAATACCTGTGTAATACGGGTGTAATATCTGTGTAATATCTGTGTATTACCCATGTAATACTTGTTTATTACTTGTGAAATAGTTGTGTACTACCTGTATAATACCTGTGTAATACTCTTTTATTACCTGCGTATTACCTGTGTATTACCTGTTTAATACCTGTATAATACCTGTGTAATTCCCTGTGTATTACCTGTGTTATATCTGTGAAATACCTGTGTATTACCTGTGTAATATTTGTGTAATACCTGTGTATTACCTGTGTAATATCTGTAATATAAAGACGTGCTGAAAAATTATTCACTATATTGATTTTGCTATATTTCCCAGGGACTTACATGTTTGATGGAATATTTATTAATACTCTTTTATTACCTGCGTATTACCTGTGTATT